ATTCGCTCCTACTACCATGGTCGCATGAAATGAAAGTGATGGATCACCTCTTCCTTTTTATATAAAAATTTTAATTTTTTTTAACCCTAAATCTTAAAACTTAAACCCTTACTTTCAACCCTGAATTTTAACTGTCAATTCCCTAACTAATCAGGCAGCGGTACTATCATAAGAATTTATGTCAACTAATGACAGCCATGTTAATAGCCCAGGCTGGTAAGCTGTCCACTTTATATAGCCAAATTATTTATTTGCCGGTTATGCATCTTTAACTCTAACTAGGAATAGCAACGGGGCAGGACGGGGACGGGGAGCCTGCTAATAGGGACAAGGTTATCCCCATCCTTGTCCCCCGTCCCTGCTAACGTGGACAAGGTTCTTTCATCCTTGTTCTCATGGGAATTCCCATCCCTACAAGGATCTCCACTCTTCATGATTTTTTTATAATGTCAATTATTTTGATTTGTATTTTTAATTTAAAAAAATAAAATAATAAAAATTTAAAATCCTATTAGAAAAGATTCAAATATATTCAACCATATTTTTAAAAATATTAATATACACATATATGTACATATATAAACATATGCATACATATATACATATATATAGTGTGGGGGGGAGGTGGGGATCAAGGTCCCCACGAGGTAGAGAGTGCTCTTCCCGTCCCCGCCAACAGGGATGAAAACCTTTCCATCCCCATCCCCATGGTGGAAAAATCATTGCTATACTCACCCCATTCAGGGCAGATCCCCACAGGGATTGAGGAAATGGGGAAAATTGCCATCCCTAGTTCTAGCTGGGCGAGCAAAGCCACATCTCCATACCACCAAAGACAAGTTTTAGGAAATTTAAAATCCAAAAGTACGAGGAAATTATAAAATCTTGCCTTTTTTTTACAATTGTATAAAGCTCTCTTGGTTCTAATAAAAGCCTTCCCCACAGTTTTGAAAACGGTGCAAATACCTCCTGATGGTGCGCAATCCGGCCGGTCTTAGCTGTCAATGACCTTGGCTCTAAACGGAATTGCAGGAACCTGAAACGGAGAAGATGAGGAAACTCCAGGGGGAACCCAGTGTGGAGGCTCCGAAGCTCAAGTTAAAATCCTTCAAAGGCAAGATAAAACCAGATAGCGCAAAGTTTGCATACCTTGTTCTTGGGGGTAGGGGGCCTTTTATAGCCACCTCGTGCACTCATTCCTAAGCTTCTGTCAGGTCGGGTACGATCACCTCTGGTCTCCTGCCAGTTCGGGTGTCATCCCCTCTACTGGTCAGAACCGCCACTGCTCCCTTTTGTCGGAGCCGTCTCTACGACTGGTGATGACGGTGGTAGGTGGCGGTGGTAGGTGACCGTTGAAGTGTGGCTGTCAAGCGTCAGATCCCAAGTCAGTCAGATGCGCCGCCCTTGTATACGGACCTCCTTGGTGTCAGGTATGGTACGTTTGTTCAGTTCGGTGTCTCGGAGGCGAAGTGTTGGAGTGGCGAACGAGGTGAAGTCTTGAGTTCGGATAGGGGAGTGTCCCAAACTGCCATGAGGCGGGCCAGTTCAGGTCATAGCCTTGTGTGGCTCGGGGCCTAAGGGAGAGTTCGGGCTCCTTGTAGGGAGGTTGGGCTCCTCGTAGGGAGTTCAAGCTCTTAGTAGGGAGGTCGGGCTCCTCGTAGGGAGGTCGGGCTCCTCGAAAGGAGTTCGGACTGTTGGTTTCTTCCCTTTGGTGCTTACGCCCTGGGTGCGCTGTTTTAAGTGCCGAGCTATTTACTTTTGCCACGTGGAGTGATTGCGAGGTTGAGCCAAATCTTCCTTCATCACCTCCCTTCCATTACTTATCAGTAACAGAGATGTTGAAGCACCAAAATGCCCTTATTACCATTAAGGCATTATAATATACAATTTAAAATTCCAACTTTATTCCTTGCTACTTTGTGTGCAGAAGAATAATTCTCTCTACCATGGTTTTTAAAACCAAGCCAGTCAGGTCACCGTTTTCCGGTTTGGCAGTTCAACCGTCTGGGTTGAACGGTTCGACCCATGACGTAATAAATAAATAAATAAACAAAAAATACACAAAAAAAATACAGGAACAAGAACAACATATGAAAAAATAAAAATATCTAAATATAAAAATAATAAAATACAGAAAATACAAGAAAATATAGAAAAAATTCCAAAAAATATATAAGCAAGAACATGTAATGAGCTTCTCTCTATAATTCTATCAGTATAGAATAAGATCAGGAGGTACCCACTTTGAATATAGTCAAACTCATTCAAACACTTTGTACCCATCTCTTGGCATTCATATATCTATGTATGGTGCCTCTGGCAATATTTGATGAGGGCAATGTGACCTCTACACTGTTTTCTATACAATACAAACTGAATCTCTTCACAGCTTGGTCGTTCATCCGGTTCCGCCCAACAATCTGCAGTTCTACAAAGTGAGATTCCCATTCAATTGTCACCAACGATAAATCCGGCATCAAATTTCTAATCTAATCCATACTTGCAATCAACTTTCCTAGGGGACCTTCAGGAATTTCTAGCCGCGATCCCTCATTAGCAATTGCATAGACTACTTGAATCATTGCACACAAATCAATGTTGGAGGGTCCTGTGTTTCCTTTTGCAACTTAGAAAGCAAATAGATTCTATGCCCTACTTATCACACCCAGACTGGACACATCACATTTCTCTGTCAAAGGTTCATTAAGGATGAGCTCAGGAGCCATCCATTCTGGAGTTCCTATAGAAGAGGAATATCTCATGGAACTCTCCGTCATTACTTGTGATAGTCCAAAATCACAGATCTTGACCGTCTTGTGCTCGCCGTCCGCCGCTGCAAGTGTTGAATCTTTTCGTCGTTGGACACCGCTGCAAGTGCTAGTGAAGGTAATTCTTTTCGCCGCTGCAAGCTCGCCAATTGTCGTTGGGTTGTGTCACCGTTGGATGCCGGAGGTGATGGCCACCGCAGGTGGTCGATTGGTAGGATGTGAGAGTTGAGAGGACTGAGGAGGGAACTCGGGCTAACCCTAAAGCTAAAGGGAATAAGGGATTGGGATCGAACATGGTTGGGATATAATAGGAATTTTATTTTTTGTTTTTTTTTTAGAACATTAAAAATAAAAACTCTAACCCGCGAACCACAATGCGGAGAAGACATGATACCAGAAACACTTTGACCAATCAGCTCCCCTGAATGCTAACATGTAAATATAGGAGATGTTCTCAATATGCATTGTAATGATGTGTGAATAGGAGATCTGTATAAACTAAAGAACAGACTGCAAGTCTTCATCAATAGACAATTGAACCTCAAACTGGCTACAAAGCCAAGACTGAAAACTATTTTTGTTAAATTATGATCATTTTAATTCTGAACCAAACAAACTATGGGAATAGACCATTCTATTTTCATTTCGGAGGATTTTGATTCTGATTCCGATTTCAATTCAGACCGTAAATCAAATGGACCCTTAGATTATTTTTAGTAATGATTAATAAAATTTTAAGGTGAACGCCCCTCCACTTGGAGTAAATTTTGGGGCTGTAAAAAAAGTGTACTTCATGATTAACAAATTGTACATACCACCATGTTCAACCAATTATATCTTTTGATGCCTGTGTAAGGAATGCATCATAAAATTTTCCCAAAAATAAAATTAAGAATTTGAGATGAAATAAAAATTTTTGGGCAAATTTATTTAAAACAAAATTTTTGATTTTTGTATAAAACATAAATATAATGAATTCATGCAATGTTTGGAAGCTTTTCCCTAGAGATAAAGTGAGACCCATAAAGATATTCACTCTAAGATTATATTTGGTTTGAAGGAAAAGATGGGGAAAAGTAAGAAAACCTATACAATGTTTGCAAAGGTTTCCCATCTTTTTCTTCCTTTTTCCTTCAAATCAAACATAGCATAAAGGAAAAGTGGGCATACCTTTTTATGTGTTATACCTTGTTTAAGAATGACATAAACTCACTATGTATTTGGCGATTCCCCCATTTTATAAAAGGTCCTAATGATTAATAAGAAAGTGCATGCTTTTAACCCCCAGTATTTACTTCATGACAAATAATAGTTTTTTTGTTTCGTCCTTTTTTCAAGGATGTATTTGATTTATCAAAAACTGGAATTTGTTCAAACCAGCAATGGTCAAAATATATAGTGCAACTAGTGAAAATATTATAACTACTAATAAATCATTATTTGTTTAAAATTTTATTTTAGACCTATTTAGATAAATTTTTGCTTTTTAGATTTGAGCTGTGAGAAACACATTTACGCCAAAAAAGAGTTTTGCACATTTGGCAAGAGTCGCTTTTAAAAATATAAGAATCTAAAGCCAGAACGCTGTTTAAGCCCCAAAACACAGCCTAAAATTAGGACTTAGTGCTTTTGTTGGGCTTTGGAAAAGCTCAAACCCTTCAGTTGCGAACTAAATTAAGATCACATCTACTATATATTCATGGTTGCAGCACCTTCAAATGATTATATGTGTTTTATTTAGAAATTGCAAGCCAGGGTTTCAGCAAATGTGGACTTGTTAAAGACTTGGGTTGTTGTTAATTGGTATCATTGTGGTTTTACCTGAAACCTTTTGATCAATACAAACCAATGAAAAATATGTATTGTCACATCATATATGAGAATCACTTCAACTAGAAAAAAGATGTGTGAATGGGATTCATCGAAATAACAATTTGTATTGATCAATCTAAACTGTTTAGCAAGAACAATGATACAAAATACAACCTAAGTTGGTGTTGTGATGCATCTAATTCACATTATTTATTTCATACTAATGCTTGCATAAGTAATAAAAGAAAGAATAAATCTCTTAAACTATTTTTATTGTTTAGCATAAATCCTTATTGTTTAATTATTGTCTTGCGGTACCCTTAAGTTTTTTTACGATTATTATTTTTGTTAAGCGTTAAAAAGGAAATATTGAATTTGCCCTTTATTATTCATCAAATTTTCAAAATAAAACCCAATTAATAAAAAACCCGATTTCCAAGCTTTTTCAAAGCTTTACTTGATACCAACGAGGCCCTGGTTTTCTGGTGGAAGTTGCAGAGGTCTTGGTATATACCTGATACAAACCAATTTTTGAATCAAATAGCAGCTTTAATATTCGTGCTCCCTCTCTCTCCCTGAAAAACTTCTACCCTTACATTGCAATTTCCGGAAGGCAGTGCGACGGTGAGAAAGGTTGGAGATCTCAAATATGCAAGGATAACCCAGATCTGAGATCTAGCCCACCGTCCGCCGCTTCAATGTAGGTACTCACCGTCCATCTGAGATCTGCAAGGAGAACCCAGATCTTAAATCTTCAAGGAGAACCCAGAAAGCCACCCACGGTTGAAATCGAGGACGAGATTCCAACTCTGCCAAAGGATGAAATGGAGGACGGAGAATTGTGTTTAACGAAGGGCCCGAAAGCAGAGTTGGAGAACGGTGAGTTTGTTTCAGATAAATTGAAAAAAAAAAAAAAAAAGAGAAGCTGAGAAGGGAGAGTTAGTTCCTGATAGATGGAGGAAGGAGGAGATGGAGAAAGGAACAGTTCGTTCCAGAAAAATGGCCCAAGGGGAAAGTGGAGAAGGGAGAATTTTGTACAGGAAATAGAGAAGGGAGAGTTCAATTAGGTGAAGTGGAGAAAAAGTAAGGTAGAAAGGTCAGACTACAGTTCAGGGGAACCACGGAGAGGTGAAACAGAGAAAGTGCTTTGATTTGGATCTAGCAAACCCAAAATCCGTCGCTGCTCTGTTCTGGGTTCGGACAGAGAAGAAGAAGGAGGTCGCTGAATATGTACGCAACAAAGGTAGCAATGTTATCAATGGTTCGAGTTGCATCGCCGCCGCTGCCGCTGCAACTCGAACTGAGAACGGAGGCAATGGCGGTTATTTTGCTCGCTGCTCTTTTTCCCCTTCGTCCCCTTCGCCGGTGGCTGCCGTCGCCTGCGATGGCTGTGCCTGCGACGAGCCCTTCTGGTGTAGCTTTGGATTCTGGGTTTGCAGCTGGAACTGCTGGTGTGGTCTTGGTATCTGGCGTCCCTGCTGGTGATGCAGTTGGGGAAACAACCCAAAATGAGTTACTGTTGCATGCACTAACCGGCAGAGTTTGGACATTGCAAGCATTGGGGAGAGTCAAGGCCTGAGTTTGGTTAATTTGGATTCCCAGTGATGAGACGCCACCATTAAGGACGTCGCACAGGCACCGTGGATTCGATTTTACAACACTAGCAAGCTGCAAGCAGCATGAGGAAGATGGGGTTGATGAGTTTCCAGTAATGTAGTTCAAGCAAGGCGACATGCCAACGAGAACGGTTGTGCAGCCTGCAAACCCGGAATCCAGCCGTCGCAGGCGACAGCAGCCACCGGCGAATGGCCCCCTCCCTCTCTTTCTCTCTTCCTCCCCCTTCGTTCTCTCTCTCCTTCTCCCCCATTCCATCTCCTGCAAGTTGCAGCAGCGGCAGACCCCTCCACTTACTCGGATACAGACGGCCAAGTTTTCTTCTCTTTCTCCTTCTTCCTCTGCTTTTCCTTCCTTCATCTTCGGTGAACAGAAAATTACCACCGGCATCATCATCTTCCGAGAATGTTTGTCGCAGAGAGAGGCGAGTTCTGGGTTGAGAAGAAGGAAAGAGGGTCGAATTTTCCACCGACAACTGTGTAGTCGCCATTGCCTATCAAAATCATTGCCACTCTGCAACTTACAGGTTGCATAGCGGTTCACTTTAGCTGCCGCACCGGAAGCGATGGAGAAGAAGAAGGGAGAGGGATGAAGGGCAAAATCAAAAAAAAATTAAAGGCACCGTAAGATAATAATTAAACAGTAGGAATAGTTTAAAAAATTTATCTTAAAAGAAAATAATAATTATAAATGCCCTAGGGGGTTTCTATCAATAACAAATACCTATCCCAACATTTTTAAAATTACAGTTTAGAATTAATTTAAAGAGTGCAATGCAAGTACAATGTTTAGAACCATTGTCTACCAAATTTTGCAGTGAACATATTTGTACAAGGCTCACTTGGAAAAAGTGTGAAGATAAAATATGTTTGGTGCAAATAGAATTATATCAATGTCAAATATCCTATAGCAAATAAATATAAATGGTCGTTAGGAATCCAACTTGTGTTGAGATTTTGTTAATATTTGAATACCAAGCAATGGAAAAATGCCAGAAGTGTTACAAACAAACAAGTAAACCAAAAAAAATGTAGCTTCATAAAATAAAGCGTCCAAGAAAGGAGAATTTGATCCTTATAAAAGGTAAAGGTAGGGCACCCCATGATTTGTAAGATTAAAATTGGCAACATCATAATATATATGCATGTGCTACTTGACAAAGTGAAAGTATCCTTGATTATTAAATAACTCAACGTAGGTACAAAGTATAGGATACCCAAAAGCATAAAATCAGATTGGTTTAAATCTCCCAATTTCGAATAGGACGAGATTCTTTTTGTAATTTTACCCTGCCATACTGCATAGGGTTATTTACTTTCGAGAGAGAGAGAGAGAAAAGAAACAAAAGAATTTTATTGGCCCTGTATTTTGGAGCAATAAGATATAAATATCCTTCGAGTGTTGTTTCGTGTGTCGTTTACTGTGCAGGTGGACACAAGTGCCACTTTGGTCCTGATTAGTAGCTTGTAATTTGGGCCTAGAATTTTTGAAATATATATATTGTTAATTAGCGTTTGAAAAATATGTAAATATCCTTTGAGTATCATCTAATTTTCTTTATCAATCATTCAAATGTTGATAAAAAATTAACAATCCTAAATTTTTATTTCTTCTATTTAAGAAAATTGAGATCAGTTTCAAAGGACATTCTGAATCCCAACTTTCTTGAATAAAAGAAACAAAGACTTAGAATTGTTAATTTTTTGTTAGTATTTAGATGATTGATAAAGAGAAGGGCATTTATATCTTTTTCAAATGTCATTGAATGGACTAGCAACTGATCAATGATAAATACTGGATTGACATATTTTGAAAATTGAAAGACCAAAGTGGCATTAGGCCCAAAGTACAAGATACTAATAGGGAATTTTTCCTTTCAAATTTTGATAATTATCAAATCTTTTCCATTTCAAGCTCCAATGGCACAACTTGGCTTATCCTGTTCCTGTCCACCAAACGATACCCTCAACCATTATTTTTTTAGTTACCAATATTTTATTATTTATCACGTGTAATGCTGTCACCCTTCAGGGTCTCACCACAAGTTTCACGTGATGATGAAGGTGGAAGCCACGCTGTTCCTTCGTCAACCGTCAGATAATTGATTTAAGGGTCAACCATGTGCTCCTTTTAACTGTTGAAGTATGTCCTTGCCAGGGACATACTCCATAATACAGACCTTTTCCCAAAATTCCATTTTAACAATTATCTTCTTTTCTTTTCCTTTTTTTTTTATAGGTAAACACTAAAAACTAAATATCTTCTCTACCCAACCCCAAGCTAATTAAACTGTAAAAATTGATCTTTGTTAGTTGAAGAATGAGTTAAAGCAGGAAAAAAATGATTCTTTACTTCACTACAGGACTATTTAAGAAATTCTTCTTCTCTTTTTCATTCTTTTTTTGTTTTTCCTTTTTTATTGTGCAGTTGAAGAAGAGATATGGATTGGCTTCCTAAGCAAATATAACTGAGTATGAGCTGCTTCCGAGCTGAGGGAAGCTGCAGCTAAGCTCTTCCACAACTGTTTCTGGTATCTTTTATTAGCAATTTTTTTATTGTTTTTCTAATATTTTCTCGTGGGTTTGTCTAACTGTTAATAACTCAGTCAGGTTTTTTTTTATATAATTTAATTTAATAAGGTTTTGCCATTTTTCTTTCTTGGGTTAAAGACTGGAGATATGGGGGCTTTGAAATTTGAAGGAATTTTTGAAGTCAACAACTTTCTTCAATTAGTGTCCTCCCCCCCCAGTTGAAAGCTGCTCTACTCCTTCCTTGTGGTTTCCGTGGTTTAAGCTGAAAGTCTCATCTCCGAAAATTTAGCACCCTTCACCATGTTGGTATCTTGAACCAAATCAGACGTATTTTGCTTGCTGTGTTTGTTGATGTTTCTTTGATTATTCTCTGCATCTTCATGTATTGTTTCCTGCCTAGGTACTGAAAACTTCATGACCAGGTTCTTGTAATTCTGAAGAGCTCTGATCCAATTCAGACAAGTCTTAGAGGATCTCTATCAGATTGGATCAGGTCGGGTATTCGGGATGAAGTTGCTTCAGTGGTTGCTCTTGTGCTTGTTGATGGCCATGATAGTCGGTGGCGGGACTCAAAGGTCCAGCTCTCCCTCGTCAAGGTCAAGCGTCGTCAACCTAGGAGCTCTGTTTACTTTCAATTCGACCATCGGAAAAGTGGCAATGCCAGCAATTAAAGCTGCTGTTGATGATGTTAATTCCGACACTACCATTCTTCAAGGGACAAAGCTGAGCCTTATCGTTCAGGATTCAAATTGCAGTGGATTTCTTGGAACTATAGAAGGTACTGTATAAGGATAATGGCTTGCACAAGTTAAACGTCGTGTTTCTTACGGAATTCAAGTTTGCGTTTCAATTGTCTCTGTTTCGTTTTCTTTAATTGTGGTATTTGGCATGGTTCTTTAGGCCTCTTATCGGTCTGCTTAAAGACACTACTTCCTGGAGGTCATTTTGTTGAAAGTCTTTTGAGTTACCTGTTTACCGACCAGAATTAGAAGCAAAATGGTGTGTAGAAGACCTTAAATTTCTGGAAAAACTTTTACAATCTGAAAATCTTTTACAAAATGGTAGGTACTCTTTAAGTTGGCTAGTTTGCTGTATAGCTCTGAGTTCATCTTATATGCCTGTAGGAAGAAGTCCATCAGTCCTAGGCCATGAACAAACATCTAACTTGAGCACTAGAAAATATTTGAAGACTAATGAGTAATAACACATGAACATAGTATTGGGTTCCAGCCTGACTTTTGTAAATTCAAGGGGTGGAAAACCATAGCTTTTGATAAGACAGTTCCATCACTCCAGTTGAAGATATTCAAAGAACTTACACTGTTTTTTGATAGATATAGAATTTACACTGTTGACATGCTTTTTGGTAGTTGCCCATGTATTATGGTTTAACATCAAACATAGAAATAAGATCCCCCCTTCCAGAAAAGGACTAGGATAGGAAGGAATATAAAACAAAACAAATATAAGGAATTTAAGTTTCTTAACCAAGTTTATCTGCTTTGTGCATCTCTCTTCCTCTATCCTAACAAGTGATGCCAAATATTGACTTGGTGGCTCCATCTTGTGCAGCTTTGCAGATGATGGAGAAAGGCGTGGTTGCTGTTATTGGTCCACAATCTTCTGTTATATCTCATGTTATTTCTCATGTTGTTAATGAACTTCATGTGCCACTTCTATCATTTGCAGCAACAGACCCCACTCTTTCCGCATTACAGTACCCTTATTTTCTACGCACAACGCAGAGTGACCTTTTCCAGATGCAGGCCGTAGCTGATTTAGTTGAATTTAATGGTTGGAGGGAGGTAATTGCAATCTTTGTGGATGATGATTATGGGAGAAATGGGATATCCACATTGGGTGATGCACTGGCAAAGAAACGTTCCAAGATCTCATACAAAGCTGCCTTCACTCCAGGGGCCTCAAGAAGTGAGATTAATGACCTGTTGGTTGGAATTAATCTGATGGAATCTCGAGTTTATGTAGTGCATGTACATCCTGATTCTGGTTTAACAATTTTCTCTCTTGCAAACACTCTTGGGATGATGGGCAGTGGCTATGTCTGGATTGCAACAGATTGGCTTCCTTCTGTTTTGGATTCATCAGAGCCAGTGGACCCTGATATCATGAATCTCATACAAGGGGTGGTTGCACTCCGCCATCACACCCCAGATTCCAATCTCAAAAAGAAATTTCTTTCCCGGTGGAGCAACTTGCAACAAAAAGGAAATGCTAGTTCAAGCTTGAATTCTTATGGGCTCTATGCCTATGATACTGTTTGGTTAATTGCCCATGCTCTTGATGAGTTTCTGAATGAAGGAGGAAATATTTCTTTCTCTAGTGATCCCAAGTTGCATGATGCAAATGGAAGCAAGCTGCATTTAGCAGCACTCCGTTCATTTGAAGGAGGACAAGGGCTGGTCCAGAAATTGGTCATGATGAACTTCACTGGTCTAACTGGTCAGATTCAATATGATTCAGATAAAAATTTGATTCATCCAGCATATGATATTCTTAATATTGGTGGAACTGGGTCTCGCAGAGTAGGGTATTGGTCAAATTATTCAGGTCTCTCAATTGTTGCTCCAGAAATATTGTATACAAAGCCTCCTAACACTTCTGCCAGCAGCCAACAGCTTTACAGCATAATTTGGCCTGGAGAAACTACAATAAAGCCACGTGGGTGGGTATTCCCCAACAATGGGAAGCCTCTGAGAATCGGGGTTCCTAACCGAGTAAGCTATAAGGAATTTGTGGGAAAGGATAAGGGCCCTCTTGGGGTGAAAGGGTTTTGCATAGATGTCTTTGAAGCTGCAGTGTCCTTGTTGCCATATCCTGTTCCGCACACATATATATTATACGGGAATGGTTCAAGAAATCCTAGTTATGCCGAACTTGTTGAGATGGTCACCCAAAATGTAAGTATATATTTCACTTATTATAAGTTTAATTAGCCTAATTTTACCACTGGGTATCTGGACGAATTCTGGTATGAACAAAGTGCATATGCAGTATCAGGATTAAGAGTTTGATGTGCATTATTGAAGAATTGTGCTGTAAAACTGAGCTGATTAGGTGATCACAACTGCCCTTTATTGATGTGAATGCTCAGAATATTTGTCCATACTATCCAAGATAATGCAAGTATTCTGCAAATATTCTGATGGTCAGGAACATCCAATGGCTTAGTTCTTGCATGGACCTACAAGGTTGACCTCATTAGGTGATCCTCTCCTTTGGTTGATTGGGTTGATTTGGGGATTGAACTGATTCATATTTTTTTGTTTCTTGTCCACTTCAGGTTGGGATGTTAAGTTTCTGTAAGAAAACTGATTTGTGTCCTCTTCTCTTCAGAAATTTGAAGCAGCTGTGGGAGACATAACCATTGTTACAAATAGGACAAAGATTGTGGACTTCACACAGCCTTTTAGTGAATCAGGCCTTGTCATAGTTGCTCCTGTTAGAGAAAAAAGGTCGAGTGCTTGGGCTTTTCTAAAGCCTTTTACAGTACAGATGTGGTGTACCACAGGTGCTTTCTTTCTTTTTGTGGGAGCTGTTGTTTGGATTCTCGAGCATCGGATGAACACTGAATTCCGTGGTCCACCAAGGCAACAACTTATAACTGTATTTTGGTCAGTATCACAGAACTCTCCATTAATCCCTCGTCCAAATACTCTGGTCTCCGAGTCCTTATTCTGTGTTAAATCATGCAGTTATCATTTGTTTGTAGACTTTGAATGTTAATTGGATAAAGTATCGTGCTGAAGGTAATTGAGGCTACTTCTGTTGACCTCACTTCTGATCACCTTTATTATGAAAAAAAAATATAGTGAGAGACAAATGTGCTTCATATAGAAATAATTGATGGGTTATTAGTAAAAACTGCTTATACTTTGTGCCCCTGTAGATTAATTTTTTCAGTTCTCCAGTTCTTATTTAAAACCAAGTGTTCTCTGATTTAATTATGGATGTTTAAACATTCTAATCCACTCATATTTTCATCCTGCAGGTTTAGTTTCTCAACAATGTTTTTTGCTCATAGTGAGTAAATTTTCTCTCTTATGCTTTTGTTTTTTTTCATTTATGATTTACCCATCAGGAGCTATTGGTTGATTTTCATTTCAAATGGTTCAAACTTGGAACTTCTTACATTGTACACCTGCTTGGACCAATTGCAGGAGAAAACACTGTGAGCACCCTTGGACGTTTGGTTCTGATCTTATGGCTTTTTGTCGTTCTAATCATCAATTCAAGTTATACAGCTAGCTTGACATCAATCCTGACAGTGCAGCAGTTGTCATCACGGATAGAAGGGATTGACAGCTTAATATCAAGTAATGAACCTATTGGATACCAGGATGGGTCTTTTGCAAGAAGCTATATGATCAACGAGCTCAACATTCCAGAGTCCAGGCTTGTGAACTTAAGAGACCAGGAAGAATATGCTGATGCCCTCCTGCGTGGACCAAAAGGTGGTGGTGTTGCTGCAATTGTTGATGAATTTCCTTATGTTGAGATCTTCTTGTCACACAACAATTGCAAGTTTAAGATTGTGGGACAGGAGTTCACGAAAAGTGGATGGGGCTTTGTAAGTATCAAGATGTAACTTCTTAGTTCATGTTTGGTCAAGCAATATAGTTGCAGTAAATGGTCATAAACCGGGTGGATATGCAACTTTCCACTTGTTGGAACTAGAAATATAGTATTTTTATTCTAATGATCTCTAACTTTAGGAGTCATTTCAGTAAGTTATTTACAAATATTTTATTTGCATAACAAGAAAATACCAGTAGTAAACACTTTTTACACCTAGGAATATCAACTTTAACTAGTAAAAGTTACATTTTATTTCTCAGACTTCCAATTGAATACCTCCCTCCATACAAACCCAATTTCCTTAGAAAGGATTTATTTTCTGTTTTCCATTATGATATCTCTGAAGTTCTCTGAGATGCCCAGGAGATTGTTTATACTTCACTTCAAGATTAAAACTTAGCTAGCTTGGAATATGATGTTTTGTTTGTTTATTTCATTAAATGTCTTAAAGTTTGTAGTTGATTGTGACCCTGAAACTAGTTTTCCTCTGTTCTGACAGGCGTTTCCGAGGGACTCTCCTCTTGCTATTGACTTGTCAACTGCTGTCCTTCAGCTCTCAGAGAATGGTGATCTCCAGAGGATCCATGATAAATGGTTGTCATCAAATGGGTGCTCCATGCAAGTGGCTGAAATTGATTCGAACCGACTGTCTCTCAACAGCTTCTGGGGTCTTTTCCTAATATGTGGCATTGCATGTTTTCTTGCGCTTCTGGTGTTTTTTGTTAGGGTTCTTTGTCAGTACCGCAGGTATAATCCAGATGAGGTTGAGGAAGAGGAAGTTGAATCCAGTCATTGTTCTCGGCATACAACCCGCTCTACTAGCTTTAAGAGCTTAATTGATTTTGTTGATAAGAAAGAAGCTGAGATCAAGAACAAGCTCAAGAGGAAGACAGGTGATGGTAAACAAAACCAGATGATTAGTCAGGGTTCAGAAGGACAGTCCAACTCTTCTCCTTAAAAAGAAATTCTTTGTATACTAATACATCCTTCTTTTTTTATTATGGGAAGGCATAAGTTGAAATTTTCCTGGTATAGTTTTCAATATAAAATGAGAAAAGAAAATTGCTAGCAGGTACTAATTGTTGTATGCAAATTAAGCTCATATTTCTACCAATTTACTGACGGAAAAGAGATTGACAAGATATTGAAGATTCTTGCCTTGACTTCTGCATGATTGGATTTACGTATTTGGAATGTTGAGTGAACCTCTTTCAGACAACCACTTTGCCTAGTTGTTTGTTCCGGGAAAATGATTCATTGTGCCTCCCATTGTAGTCAACAATGTAAGGCAGTTTTGTATTTGGTTTGTTTGGTATTTTCTTGCTTTTTCTTATTCGTCAACTATTATAAATGAAAACATGACATGTATCATGCTTAAAACGTGTATACCGTATGCCAAGCATCTGTTTTTAGTAGTCCAACTTGAAATTACTGTTCCAGGAAATATAATAAAAAAAAAGACAAATTATAAAATTGAGATGCATTCTGTCATTCTGTGGGGTTTAAAAGAGAACTTACATAAATGGCAGGATTTATTGCTAAGGCCAACATGGTTGATGGTTCCCAAGTTCAGGATCAAGGAATCCAAGGTTTTTGATCCCTAGCAGATTTGTTTAAAGTGATCAAGGAATCCACACTTCTTTTTAAAACATAATTCTCTTCTCACCATTGACCTGATGACTTCTGCCTTTTGGAGAAAAACCATCATTCTCTATGTTTCTTGTTGTGGTAAATGAAAATCTTTTCTATAATTTTTATCTGGAGGGATGCAAGTGACCATCTCAGATTCTCAGCTATTGGGTGCCTGTTTAGGATGCAGGTAACCACCACGGAAAGGCAGGAAGCTTGTATTTGGTGATCAAAATCCCAAAAGGTCAAAAAAAAAGAATACTATTGTTGAGCTGAAAATTCAACTTTCCGAGATCACATCAGCGCCCCACATGCACATCTAAGCGTGCATTGAGAACATCTACATCTCCCGAATGTACTGTGGGACGCCAATGTAAACTCCAACTTTCCGGTAAACACAACTCAATCAACACAGAAACCCTCCAGGTTATTGGCTTTTCCTTGGCTAACATGGTGTGCTGGTAAAATCTGAGTTTCAATAGTATTCTTGAATACATGAATTTCAGTAGTCTGTAAGATCTATTGGTCCTTGTTTGGCCCACTGTTAGTTGTATACATATCTCAACGATTTGGGGTTTTATTTCGGCTTGGCTTGGCTCGGCTCGGAAAAAGCCAAATGAATCCAAAGCTTGACTTGGAGTCACAAAGGAGTTAACAACAACCATAATAAATAATTTGGTCGACAGTGGAGTCAAGTCGGGAGTCGGCAAGGTATTGTTATGTTACGTAAAACTGTAAAAGGTCCAGTTGGACCGCAGGCCTGGTCCATTTAAATAGAAGCCCTATAAGTCAAAGCCTTACCCCACCAATGGCCCCATATTTGGCCAGTCCTTAAATCCCTTGGCTAATAATTTGGCTAAAGTTTCTGACAACCATAATAACTTCCCCTGAGATTTCACTGTATTTTCACAAAAACCTACATTTACTTATCTTCCATCTTTTTCCAATAATGAAGATGTCATAGTTATAAAATTACCTTTACAATTTTTTAAGACAATTTTCAATATAATTCAAAATGTCATAGTTATAAAGTTTCATTAACTTTATATGAATTTTCAGAAATTTGGTCATTTATTTTGCCTAAAATTTTCAAATACAATATAAATAATAAATACCATAGTTTTTTAATACATTAAGTAAAACCTTTATGAAGGAATTCTTTCTAAGAAGTTAGAACTTTCAAAAAAATCACAGATCAAAACCAGTACGGAGATGAGGGAACATTCCCATTTTTTTTTTTTTTATACACAGCATCCTTGGTAGACAGACAAAGGAACAACGATTTGATATCACAAAAGTAAAATTCACTCCCACCATAAATACACCCAACATACCTTTGAAATGATTCAAAACAAATTTCTAAATGTTGTCAAAATATTTATTGAATGCTTGTTAGTCGTCTACTCACAACTGGGTTTCAACTAGATCTAGTCTCCATAAGAGGCAACACAGCGGGATCGAGGAATGATGAACGACAGCTGTTGATCGGCAAGAGTAAATCAAGGATGATTCATACAAAGGAGCAAAACGAGACAATCAGAATCCTATTCTAAATCTTCAATGAACAAAGGAAATATCTCCTAAACCTCTCTGCTGCATTTGCTTCTTTTTTTGGGATGTGCAGTAGTAGTTTCTTTAAAGTCTTTTGTTTGTCAAAGTTATTTTTAGTAGTTAGTAATGACGTCTCTCCCAATAGATTTTAGTTCACAAACCCAATACCCGCACTTAATCTAAACCAGCCTCCTTATGGTCACTTCTTCCCATTTAGGTCTCTTGTCTTTCCTGTTACGAAGTCTGGAGGAAGAACGTGTTAGGTTTTCCCACTCTTCTGTTGCTCTTAGTTTCTCATCTGTTAGGTTTGCTTTCTTCTATCCACTTTTGGGGATTCTACCTCTATTGAGGGTTTTTTAATCCTTTTTTTTTTTCTCTTTTAGAATGAATCCAAAAAATCAAGCTTGTAACAGAGAGAGAGAAAATGATGAGCCTCATGAAAGAATGGTAGGATCCATCCAATGGACGCCATAAAGGTTGCGGAATGGGTGGGCGAATTTCAAAAAAAAATTTCCTACATTCTCTCAATTGAGAATCATATTCCCTAAATTTAGAATATAATATTCAAGGATCCTACTTGAACCATAATCAAACCAGATCTGCACCCAAAAATAAATGGAAGGAATATACCTGATCCGGAGAAGCAGTATCTCCCAAAGTTGGTGTTCACGCCCAAAGAATGCACCAAGATCCGTTCCTGCTGAAGATGACACAGCTGTGGATGGAACAGAACCAGTAGGGTGCGTCTTCACGAGAATCCTCTGGAAGTATTAAACACTGAATCCTTTTTAGTCTTTCTTGCAAGACTGATGTCAAGAACAGATTTCTTGACTTTCCTTTTCTGCAAAGATCTAATCTTGCAATGGTAGATGGCGGCGGCAGGAGGAGATCTCCAAAAACGAAAAGGCTGAACTGCTTTTCTCTTTTCTGGAGAGTGTGAAATCTGATCTCTACTCGCAGGAACCTTTCTTGCGATTTTCCTTGGTTCGAAATCTGTTGTATTTCTCTCCTTCTTGGTTAGTTTTTCTCCTTCTTGCTTCTTGATTAAGAAACCTCCTTATTATGAGTTATCTCAATCCAAATCAGTATTTGGATAGGGGATAATCTTAATCCTTTCTGCAGATAGAGTTAGCTTACTCCTGATCTTATCAGGAGGTTACCAGATTCAAATCTAACTTGAATTTGGTCTCTAAGAGTGGATAAGGCTAAAGGCCCAATCCTT